AACAACAACAACAACAACAGCTTGTAGCTGATAAGCAAACTGATGTGTGGATGTGACGGAGGGAAAGGAGGTCGCCACCACGACCGCTGTCACTGGTTGCCACGGCAACAGGAACAGGAAGCAGCTGGGGAACACTTTCAAAATAATAAATGTTTCAGCGACGTGACGACGAGAAAAAGGGTGTTCAATGTTAAACATAAAAGCTGGATTTTGCCCGTTGCCATGGCAACATGGTTTGACAAAAATCTTAATTCATGCATGTTCATCCGTCATCCGTCTAAAGGACTGGCTGAACAAAATTTCAGCTGGAATCTGGGCAATCTGCTGAGAGATGTGGTATAAAAGAAAAAAATACATTTCCTTTTCACCACTAGTGGCGCCTCTCACTATTACTGAATTATCACATAAGGCATGTTCAGCGGGAACTCTTATCAGAACAAGTGAGTTTGGAGCCGAATTGGACAATGGTACACTTCAGTTATAGCGGAACCTCGTGTGTTCTGACCCGGTCCATCAAAATTTCCCGCCACGCCACAGACAGCCCCTCACCAAGTCAAACATTATCCCCATGTGTTTGCATTTTATAATAAATTTCGCTGGATCTGATCATCACTGGCTAGGAGTTGAACATGACGTATAAAACGTATACCTTATGTTGCCACTAGGGTTGGCGCTCTCACTATTACTGAATATTATCACATAGAAATGTCGGGCGGGACTCTTATCAAACATGTGAAGTTTCGTTGCAGTCGGATCATGTTATGCAGAAGTTATGACGAATCCCTTTTTTATGGCGGAGGGATCGAAATTGGACCGCAGGGACGCACGCACGTACGGTGTTCGACGGAAATAAGTAATAGCACAACTTTTAATGGTGAATGTGTTTTAATGGCTGTGTCCAAATCTGAAGTCCGGATCCGATAAATTCCTGGGAGGAGTGCGTTCAAATACATCGTGTGCCAAATCGCCAAGAAATTGGCCGCTAATCCAAAATGGCCGAATTCCTGTTGGGGTTTGAGGTTTGGCTCCAAGAGGCTTTTCTGCTTCTTTTATCAATAACGTGCGTACGGTTTTTCGTACGTGTCGACCATTACGCGTCTTGAGGGCATGATTCGGGGGGGGCGGGGCTTAGCCATTTGCGGCGCCCGTGCAGGGGGACATTTCATACGTCGAGTTTCTCGAACGTTTTGAATTTTGTGCAAATTTCCCTGAACTTTTTGAGCATGCTGCGACCCCAAATAGTGCGATCAGATGACGGAGACAATATAATAATTCCTTGCATTACAATAGGGCCTTGCACTGGTCAGTGGCCGGTCCTAAAAATATACAATAACAACAATAACAACAATAA